CAGACGATGCAATCGCCATCACACTGCACACTGCCCTATCCGAAGAGGAATACCTATGTAAGAATGCTGTTCATTGATTATAGCTCAGCATTCAACACCATAGTACCCTCCAAGCTCATCATTAAGCTCGAGGCCCTGGGTCTGAACCCCGCCCTGTGCAACTGGGTCCTGGACTTCCTGACGGGCTGACCCCAGGTGGTGAAGGTATGAAACAACATCTCCACTTCACTGATCCTCAACACTGGGGCCCCACAAGGGTGCGTGCTCAGTCCCCTCCTGTACTCCCTGTTCACCCACGACTGCGTGGCCAAGCACGCCTCCAACTCATTCATCAAGTTTGTAGACGACACAACAGTAGTAGGCTTGATTACCAACAATGACGAGACCGCCTACAGGGAGGAGGTGAGGGCTCTGGGAGTGTGGTGCCAGGAAAATAACCTCTCACTTAACATCAACAAAACAAAGGAGATGATCGTGCACAACAGGAAACAGCAGAGGATGCATCCTCCTATCCACATCGACGGGACCACAGTGGAGAAGGTGGAAAGCTTCAAGTTCCTTGGCGTACACATCACTGACAAACTGAAATGGTCCACCCACAGTGTGATGAAGAAGGCGCAACAGAGCCTCTTCAACATCAGGAGGCTGAAGAAATGTGGCTTGTCACCTAAAATCCTCACAAACTTCTACAGATGCACAATTGAGAGCATCCTTTTGGGCTGTATCTCCGCCTGGTACGGCAACTGCACCGCCCGCAACTGCAGGGCTCTCCAGAGGGTAGTGCGGTCTGCCGAACGCATTACCGGGGGCAAACTACCTGCACTCCAAGACACCTACAGCACCCGATGTCACAGGAAGGCCAAAAAGATCATCAAGGACATCAACCACCCGATCCACTGCCTGTTCACCCCACTATCATCCAGAAGGCGAGGTCAGTAGAGGTGCATCAATGCTGGGACCGAGAGAATGAAAAACAGCTTCTATCTCAAGGCCATCAGACTGTTAAATAGCCATCACTAACACAGAGTGTGCTGCTGCCTATTGAAATCACTGGCCACTTTAAGAAATGGAACACTAGTCACTTTAATAATGTTTACATATCTTGCTCTACTCATCTCATATGTATATACTGTATTCTATTCTATAATATTCTACTGTATCTTAGTCCATGCCGCTCTGTCATTGCTTGTCCATATATGTATGTCCATATATATATTGTCCATACGGTACTCCTGAGTGGCGCAGTGGTCTAAGGCACTGCATCGCAGTGCTAACTGTGCCACTAGAGATCCTGGTTCGAATCCAGGCTCTGTCACAGCCGGCCGCGACCGGGAGACTCATGGGCGGCGCACAATTGGCCCAGCGTCGCCCAGGGTAGGGGAGGGAATGGCCGGCAGGGATGTAGCTCAGTTGATAGAGAATGGCGTTTGCAACGCCAGGGTTGTGGGTTCGATTCCCACGGGGGGCCAGTATAAAAAAAATATATATGTATTCACTAACTGTAAGTCGCTCTGGATAAGAGCGTCTGCTAAATGACTAAAATGTAAATGTAAATGTATATATTCTTAAATTCCATTCCTTACTAGATTTGTGTGTATTGGGTATATGTTTTGAAATTGTTAGATATTACTTGTTAGATATTGCTGCACTGTCGGAGCTAGAAGCACAAGCATTTCGCTACACCGGCAATAACATCTGCTAAACACGTGTATGTGACAAATAAAATTTGATTTGATTTGATTTTAACACATAATGAAAAGGTGTGCCAGAACAAGAAGGTGCATTCCCCTTTACAAAAACAACACTGGGGAACCAAATTATTGTGTAACATACAGGTAACTGACAAAATAAACGAAACACTTGAGTGAATGAGGGACACAAAGTACAGTATATTGAAAGCAAGGTGTGGTTCCTGAGTTAATTAAGCAATTATCCTCCCATCATGCTTAGGGTCATGTTTAAAAATGCCCAATTGCCCATTGTTTTGCCTACCATGGCTTAAAAAGGAGATCTCAGTGAGGAGCATATGGGGTTAAAAGTGTGTGTGTGCATTGCGCATGCACATGTGTCATAGTCACCAGATCTCAACCCAATTTAACACCTATGGGATATTCTGGAGTGGCGTCTGAGACAGCGTTTTCCACCACCATCAACAAAACACAAAATTATGGAATTTCTCGTGGAATAATGGTGTCGCATCCCTCCAATAGAGTTCCAGACGCTTGTAGAATCTATGCCATGCCGCATTGAAGCTGTTCTGGCTGCTCGTGATGGGCCAAAGCCCTATTAATACACTTTTCTTCATTTAGGCAGTTACCTGCATCTTCAAATGTGAGAACAAGTGACCTGAAAATGTAGTATGTAAAAAAGTGTATGAGTTGAACGCATTGATAGAAATAGAGGTGTGTGTATATATTTTTATTATCTTGAAGCTTAAAATAGATCTGGATAAAATAAAATAAATACATACAATTTAATGATTGGTTGGTCATTTAGATGTACAGTACCAGTCTAAAGATTGGACACACATACTCATTCCAGAGTTTTTCAATATTTTTACTATTTTCTACACTATAGAATAATAGTGAAGACATCAAAACTATGAAATAACACATATGGAATCATGTAGTAACCAAAAAAGTGTTAAACAAATCAAAATATATTTTATATTTGAGATTCTTCAAATAGCCACCCTTTGCCTTGATGACAGCTTTGCACACTCTTGGCATTCTCTCAACCAGCTTCATGATGTAGTCACCTGGAATGCATTTCAATTAACAGGTGTGCATTGTTAAAAGTTAATTTGTGGAATTTCTTTCCTTCTTAATGCGTTTGAGCCAATCAGTTGTTGTGACAAGGTAAGGGGGGTATACAGAAGATAGCCCTATTTGGTAAAATACCAAGTCCATATTATGGCAAGAACAGCTCAAATAAGCAAAAGAGAAACGAAAGTCCTTATTACTTTAAGACATGAAGGTCAGTCAATCCGGAAAATGTCAAGAACTTTGAAAGTTTCTACAAGTGCAGTCGCAAACACCATCAAGCGCTATGATGAAACTGGCTCTCATGAGGACTGCCACTAGAATAAAATACCCTGATTTACCTCTGCTGCAGAGGATAAGTTCATTAGAGTTACCAGCTTCAGAAATTGCAGCCCGAATAAATGCTTCACAGAGTTCAAGTAACAGACACATCTCGCCATCAACTGTTCAGAGGGGAATGTGTGAATCAGGCCTTCATGGTCGAATTGCTGCAAAGAAACCACTACTAAAGGACACCAATAATAAGTAGAGACTTGCTTTGGCCAAGGAACACGAGCAATGGACATTAGACCGGTGGAAATGTGTCCTTTGCTCTGGAGTCCAAATTGGAGATTTCTGGTTCCAACACTGTGTCTTTGTGAGACGCGGTATAGGTGATCGGATGATCTCTGCATGTGTTTTTCCCACCGTAAAGCATGGAGGAGGAGGTGTTGTGGTGTGGGGGTGCTTTTCTGGTGACACTGTCTGTGATTTATTTAGAATTCAAGGCACACTTAACCAGCATGGCTACCACAGCATTGTACAGTGATACGCCATCCCATCTGGTTAAGGTTTAGTGGGACTATCATTTGTTTTTCAACAGGACAATGACCCAACACACCTCCAGGCTGTGTAAGGGCTATTTTACCAAGAAGGAGAGTGATGGAGTGCTGCATCAGAGGACCTGGCCTCCACAATCCCCGGACTTCAACCCAATTGAGATGGTTTGGGATGAGTCGGACAGCAGAGTGAAGGAAAAGCAGCCAACAAGTGCTCAGCATATGTGGGAACTCCTTCAAGACCATTGGAAAAGTATTCCAGGTGAAGCTGGTTGAGGGAATGCCAAGAGTGTGCAAAGGTGTCATCAAGGCAAAGTATGGCTATTTGAAGAATCTTAAATATAAAACATATTTTGGTTTGTTTAACACTTTTTTGTTTACTACATGATTCCATAGTTCTGATGTCTTCACTGTTATTCTACAATGTATTTTTTTTTTTTTTAAATAAAGAAAAATCCTTGAATGAGTAGGTGTCCAAATTTTTTACTGGTAGTGTACTATATACAGAACATGGTGTATTTAACCATTATAACCACAACATTTCCCATATATATTCTAAGCTTGTAAGTAGAATATTATATGTTAAGTGGATATCTGTATTAATAAGAAGATTGCATATTACAAGCAAAGCTCTGTATTTCAAAACAAACAGCCATACAGACGGGCTAAGGCCTCAGGGTCAAAGTGCATATGCTGAATGTGTTTAGGGGTCTAGCTGTGGCCTTGTGGGATACTTCACAGGATGGAACTAACCCCAAACCAGATCTCTTCCACTTTACAAGGCCCTTATTTGGTTTAGACCGAGGGGCTAGGGTTTAGGATGTGGCCCATGAGTACAAACCTATAGAGCCAGATTCAAGTATGTCCAATAGAGGCTTGATCTGGGTCTAGGAAACTGCACCATAGTGACATAAAGCATCCTCTTCTCAACTGGAAGATGACATTAGTCACCTCTTACTGATAGCCCCAGATTAAACAGTTAAGTGTGGCCATCAGCATTCTCCATCAAGCAAAACATTGAACTAATCTACTGCTATGAAACAGGAGATAAGCTCCCATTTCACAGTCATGGTGAACCATTAGACTGGTCAATTAGACATATTCATAATAAAACTAACCTGGCTGCTAGTCTCAAGGCCTGGGTATTCAGGGGTTAAACGTTTGCTGTGGATGATGGGGCAAAAACAATCCCCGAAATAAATATTTCCCCATATTTTCAGTTTCTGAAGGCATTCGATTTGTTGGAACTATTGCATGGAAAAAAAGTATCAGTCTCTCACAACAGTATAATCGTTTAACTATATACAGTAAATATCATTTATAACATTTTTCTTTATTCCTCACTCTCCCTTCGCCTTTTTTGTTATGCCTCACACACAATGCACACGCGCAAACAAACACATACACACTCTCCTCCTCCTCACTTGCAGATGAACTGGTCCACGGTTTTGGTGCAGCGCTTGCACTTGACGTAGCAGCACCAGTGGAACTTGCAATGGCATCGCTCCACGATCTGGGCCTTGTACTGGTCGTAGCCCCGGCCACAACACATCAGCTCACAGCCATCCATGCCCTCAGATGTCTTATTGCACAGCCTGCCTACAGTACCCAGTGAGCCCGTGCTCTGGTTGGACAGGCAGTAGTCTGGGCTGGACTCGATGTAGACCAGGTCGTGGCTGGTGGGGGGGTTGAACTTGCTGTCCCGCTGCACCAGCTTTCCACGCGAGTTGAGCTTCATGGACGCTGCGCTGTCGTACTTCTCCTTCAGGGTTTCGCCCACCTTGCGGAAGTCTGCCAGATGCAGCCAGCACGTCTTCAGACTGCAGGAGCCCGACACGCCATGGCACTTACAGGAGACGTGGGCCAGGTCTGACACCGTCTGAGAGGAGAGGAGAGTAGGAGGGAAACAGGTTGGGAGAGATGGAAAGATTGGTTATGACCATTTTTTAAAATAAAATGTCAATACTATACAAACATGATTTATTGTGTCCATGGCCCACACTATAAGCTGAACAAAACCCTGTCCGCTCATTTGTTAGAGTCAGAAGTGATGTGTATACAACAGGTTCTGGCGAGCTGTTTCCTTTGAGGCTGTGTCAAGGCTTTTGGAATGAACTACAGAAAGCATCCCAGTGAGCCGTCATGATCCCAACTCACACAGATCAAAGACAGGCTTCAGGGGAGAGACGAGACAGAACTGTTACACAGATGATCAACTGATACCACACCCATCTGATTGACCTGGATTCTCTTTTTCTCTCTGGCTCCCCCTCTCTCTCTCTCACTCCCTCTGTCTCTATTCCTTCCATTCTCTCACTAAGTGTCATTGGGGATCAACTTCAGAACAGCAGAAACAGGTGGAGATGAACTTGTTTTATGTGTTAGTGTGTGAGTGTGACAGTAAAATAAGTATGCAGGCACAGTGCTTCATTTTGTTAGGGTGTGTGTGTGTGACAGCAGAGTATGATTCCTCCTCACCCTCCTTCCAGCCTCGTTGTTGTGTAGGTTCATCATCAGCCGGGCACTCTCGTAGGATCCCTTGGCATAACTCTTCTCCCTCTCCCGTGCGTCAACAAACTCTTTAGAGAACCTGTAGCCATAGTTCAGGTTGTCCCCGCAGCCGCCCCACAGCCAATCACGAGGCAGGTCTTTGGGACGTGCGGCACGGCTGCAGCCGCAGCTCGACAGCTCCCCCTCTCTGCAAGCCCTGCTCACTGCGTTGACCACGCCTGCCGCGCTGATGGCATACGTAAATGCTGTTTCTCTGCTTCCTGTGAACAGACAGAAAGACGAGAAGACAGAAGAACAACATGAATATATGACAGCAGTAACAGTGTACGGTGGAGTCAGACCTGGTGTTAGATTTCATTTGAAGTGATGAGGAGTCAAAGTCTTAAAAAGAAGAGATGAGAGTCACTTTAGTGAGTCATAGTAGTAGGGTCCAAACTGGCCAGACACAGCATTTATAGAGCTTTAACATAAGTCAACAATATGGAGCAGAACGACCATACCATGTTGACAGATTAGTTAATACTTCTAGGTATACTGGGCTCATCTGACTGACAGAGGGCGGTACAGGTAGCGAATGAATCTTGTCCAGATGGAAAGTCTCGGTAGCAGAGTCTGCCAAGGGGGAGCTTGTGGCAGAGCTGTCGACAGACATGATGTCTCTCTCTCGCTCTCTCTCTCAGGACTGATCCCAGAGAAGCCTCCCTCTCCTCAGTGAGTGGCCTAGTCCACCCAGCCACGGGGGCAGCCAACACGGGCAGACTCCCCTACCCTGGAGCTCAGCCCGAAATCAGCAGCACCGAACAGTCAAACAGACTGGGGAGGACATGTTTACTTGGCCCAGAGTGAACCAAGATGGAAGCCCTGTCTTCCCCTTAATGGGAGACGGGGTCAGAGAGAGAAAATGAGAGAAAGAGGGAGAAAGTAAGAGGGAGAGAGAGAATAAAGAGAGAGAAGCTGTCCTCTCATTGATGGTTTTTCTTTGAAGACACACAGTACAGAATCTGTAGAAAGGGATCTCAGAACAGGGGAGGGACTGAGACAAAAGCAAGCTCACATCAAAAGTATTTACAGGGAGGAGTCTCACACACTCCCAGAGAGATGCATATGTAGCGCACATACATTCTCAAACACACATTCTCGCGGTGATAATGGTTATCACTTGTGGTGATAGGCTCATCCAATTCCTGTCCTCTAATTTCTTCTCTCTCATGTTTCAAATGTACAGATGCTCAAGCCACAGCATTATCACAACGCTAGGCTGAACGGCATGAGGTAAATGCTTTGGTTTAAATTAAATGTGACAGTTATGAACAATAAATGCCGGCAGTAAACCACCACAACATGGGCTCCTGTGGAAAAGTCAAACATTGGAGAGGACATAAAACAAACGCTCCATCAAATAGACAGGATCTGGAAGTAGGATTGAAACCCTCTACCTCTCTGAGTTCTATGAGGGGTGAAAAACTAACTTGCATGCATGTGTGTGTTTGAGATACATTGAGGCTGAATGCAATTCCTCCCCATTGTGAGTGTCAGACTATGGCCATGGAGCCCCAGTCCACATGTGATTTATAAAGAGACCTCCCCAACAAACTATTCCCCCAGCTCAGCTGCTCAACATCACCCCATGGATTACAACAGGAGAAGAGGGAACCTCCAAATCCTCCTCTGGTCTAGTAGGAGAAAGGGGAAGGGAAGAAGAAGGAAAAACAGTGTGCATACTCAGAGCTAGAGAACCACATAATGCATAACTAAGCAGTGGTTTATTCGGATCCCCATTAGCTTTTTCCAAAGCAGCAGCTATTCTTCATGGGAGGTCCAAACAAAAACATAAAACACGACAAGTAACAAAACACTGATAGACAAGAACAATATGTGTGCAGTCTGTGTGTGCATGTGTTGGTCATTTCACAATCTCTATTGTGCCATGAGATTATTTTTTATAATTATTTTAAAGGTAATGTTATTGGTTTTCTTCAGTAATTGGTTCCATGAGATCATGGCTCTGTATAATACTGTGTGTTGCTGTGAATTTGTTTTGGACTTGGGGACTGTGAAGAGACCGCTGGTGGCATGTCTTGTGGGGTATGTATGGATGTCTGAGCTGGATGTTATTTGATTATACAGAAAACCTGGAATTTTCATCACAGTAATATTTCTCATAAAGACTAGAAGAGAAACAGGAAAGACTGGCATGCATGTTGATGTCCTGTATATGCAGTTAAGGGCAAGGTGTGCTGCTCTGTTTTGAGCCAGCTGCAGCTTTGCTAGGTCTTTCTTTGCTGCACTTTACCATATTACCACAGTAATCAAGATGGGACAAGATCAGAGCCTGAACAACTAGTACAGTTAATTTGTGTTAAAAATGCATAACATCTTTTTATAACAGACATACTCCTCGCCATCTTCATAACAACTTTGTCAATATGACTTGACCATCCAATGTTATACCTAGGAGTTTAACTTCCTCAATTTGCTCAATGGTCATACCCTTTATGTACAACTCCAGTTGAGGTTTAGGTCTTTGAGAATGTTTTGAACCAAATACAATGCTTTTAGTTTTAGATGTATTTAAGACCAGTTTATTATTAATCACCCATTCTGATACTGACTGTAACTCCTTACTTAGAATTTCAATGAGCTCACTGGCTTTTGGTGCTGACATGTAGAGTGTGGAATCATCAATCACAGTGTGTTCCACTAGCACCAGCTGTCGGCTATACAGCCGATTACAGAGTCATTTTCAGACGGGTACTTTTCAATTCCCTAGTCAGAAAAAAGTATGTTGAGCCCTCTCTCACTACAATGCAGGATATGCGTCTTCTAGCCATCTATTGATAACACAGGTGCCTGTCAGTTACAAAGTTAGCGATGACAGGGAAACACTGCTGGTTTGACAGTCTGTCCTGCCACTTGGTACCTAGGTGTGTGAGTTGTGTGCACTGTGGTTGCAGTATAATTTCTACACGGAGGGAGAGAGCATGAATTTGCACATCCCATATAATGTGATAACGATGAATCGAAATCCACTTAACCTATGATTTTCTGTCACATTTGTTTATTTTATTTCGCGTGCAGGGTCCGACATAAAAAATAGCCCACCGGGGCCAGTAAAAAACATGTGTCGTTGGGCCAGTGGATGTCGTCAGGGCCAGTAACTTTTTGGGCCAGTCACTTTTCAGCTCATTTTTGCATTCCAGCTCAACATCTAGCTGCTCTGTCGCAATCTACCATTGAAAACCATTAAAGACTACACGCCTAAATGTCATGCCATTTGTATTTGACCAATGTGATTGGCCGTTCATTCAAGCATGATCACGCTCCTGCGAGTCACAACTTCTCAAGCAGTACATGAGTTGATCCCTTCACACAGCACACGCAAGCTGTCCAGAGCAAAAAGAAGCACCAATCAATCTACTCGCTGAGTTTATTTATTTTAGCGAAAGTGATTTACAAAAGTAAACCTTCAATAGCGAACATCCTAGCAATTTGCTGGCTACTGTTGATATTCTGCAAAAAGAAAGCTACAAAAAGACACCTAGCATTCGTCTTGGCTAGCCTACTATAGCCATGTCGATATCTCTTTTGGAACGTTTGTCTTAAAGGGGCAGTGTACTATTTAAAAATCTTCTCAAAATGACATACTTAGAAACAAAATGTAATGCAATTAATGCAATGCAATTCTAAAGAATAGAGTAATGACTTGCGTTGCTAAAATATATTACATACCTTTTTAATACATATCATAATAACCCAATGTGGCCTATTAATAGCTGAATATAGAGAGAAAGCACGGCAAAAAAAAATATCTACTGGCCCGAACAGAGTTTCTACTGGCCCTGCATGTTGAATCCTGCCGTGTTTCATATGCAGCACGGAGTGGTGGTGCATAGGCTATTGACTGTGTTTTGATTGATGAACAAGAAGCTTGATTTGTTTTTTAAAAGGTGTCGAACTGACTGAATAAAGTCAATCTCATATCCTTGCTATTCATAAATCATACAATGTAGTTATATGTCCATGGTATCTCATCCGGACAATTAAATTAAACAAGATCTTGTTTTTGTATTTTCGATATGAAGTCCAGTAGGTATTGCCAGATAGTAACATTAGAGTGAGTGACTTGTCAGTAGCCTACCGAATTGCATCGGTAAGAGTAATTTGACGAAATATCTTCAGATAAATTATGAAAACATTCGATGAAGATGGTGAATAATCCTCACTGCAGGAACAATATGTAGGCTAGTGGAGAAATATCCTCACTATGGTCCAAAACATATTAAAAGAAAACATTAAATTGTTTTAAAAGCTAATGATACTTACAGTATATGGTATTTTCAATGATATTGATGTAGGTCTACTGATTTAATCAAAGTGTTGACAATGGAGGAGTCAACTGCTGCTTTCTGTGTAGCAAAGGCCATGTTTAACACCTGCTTCATTCTTCAATCAAACCTGTGTTGCAGATTGCTGAGAAAATGCCTCTTAAAGAAGCTTGAAGCCTGTGGAAGTCAGCAGACTCTTACGGGATTCTTTATAGGCATAGTGCAGTCAAAATTAAGTTGCTCTTGTGTTTTATATCATATTGTACAACAGTTGATTAAACTAACACTACAAAAGTGTGACTTTTTTTAAAAAAATCTGTGTTATTTCCTCATAGTTGCTGGTTGAAAATACAGTCTAGCACTAGAAAGAACCAGAGGCCACCAAAATAGAGCCTGGTCGGCAAAAACAAATAGTAAATTTTTCTATGGCTGCATACACCATGTGCTTGTTGAAAACACTGAGGCGTCCTTTGAAGAATACTCTCTGGGTTCTATTGGATAAATATCTTTCCAACCATGTGATGGAAGATGATGTAAAGCCATTGCAAGTTATGATCAATAACAAAGGCTACACTGAAATCTAACAATACAGCTCCATCTATCATCTTATCCATTTATTTGTAACAAATCATCAGTCATCTGAGCCAGTGCAGTAAAAGTTGAGTGCCATTCTCTATACGTATGCTGAAAGAGTCAGTAGTTAACTTGTTCTCTGAAAAATGCATGCCTGATGAAGACCTAAGGGAAAGTAGTCAACAAGGCATCTCACAAAGACACGTGACATGATGGCGTATTGAACACACAGCGGTGCGAATCACCTCAAGATAAAAACGTAATTTCAATATCAGTAAGTTAGACTAAATATTAGCATACTCATGAATAATAACATTCAATCTGGATAATAACACAAAACGAATCATAAGGCTAGAGAAA